AAAAGCAGAATCAGAGCTGGAAAAAAACCCCAAACCAGCCCCTTCAGGTTGGGATAAATTCACTTTTTCTTCTTTGCGGCGCGCTCTGTGCGTGCAGCTGGCGTGGGCGCGGGCGAGGAGCGATAGGGATCGATCCCGACTACGATCTGCCCGTCAGCGCTGCGTGCCGGTCACGGATGGCTGTCCCATAACGTGCGGGAGCTGGATCCTGCTCCGATTTCTCCACATCTTAAGCACTCCCATCCCCGTGGCGGCTGATTTCCCACCGGAGCCATACATTTTCAGGAAGGTCACGAACAAATCTACCTTTAGAAGGTGCGTTTGTCACTCTGAGGGTTACGGGTGCCGCTGGGGCGGCGCAGCTGCACAAGCTTCACCCCCTTGCACAGTCGTCCCTTGTTGTGAAGGTGCAAAAGCCGATTGACTCCAGCTGCGCGCGCAGGTGTCGGCATGCTTTCTTTGAAAGAAGCTGCAAAAGAGTCCGGGGAGTTTCTGGGCCTTTGCGCCGCCTGACCGCAGCGCGCGGAACGCGGATCGCAAGTCGACGGTGCTGCTGCTTCCAGAACGCCGTAGGGAAAACCTCGCCAACCTTGCGCCTCTGGAAAACCGAAACAAGCGAAAACCCCGCCAGGTGGGCCTGCCTCCTCCCCTCCGGCGTGGGCATCCTGCGCGGGTCGGGAAGCTGGGGCGGCGTGGGCTGGGGGGGTCTGTGCAACGTGCGTCATCGTGCAGCGTGAATTGTGCAATGTGCAGCATGCATCTTGCAACGTGAATCGTGCAGTGTGCAGCATGCGTCTTGCAACATGAATTGTGCAGTGTGCAACATGCATCGTGCAATGTGAATCGTGCAACGTGAATTGTGCAATGCGTAACATGCATCGTGCAATGTGAATCGTGCATCGTGCAACGTGAATTGTGCAATGCGTAACATGCATCGTGCAATGTGAATCGTGCATCGTGCAACGTGAATTGTGCAATGCGTAACATGCATCGTGCAATGTGAATCGTGCATCGTGCAACGTGAATTGTGCAATGCGTAACATGCATCGTGCAATGTGAATCGTGCATCGTGCAACGTGAATTGTGCAATGCGTAACATGCATCGTGCAATGTGAATCGTGCATCGTGCAACGTGAATTGTGCAATGCGTAACATGCATCGTGCAATGTGAATCGTGCATCGTGCAACGTGAATTGTGCAATGCGTAACATGCATCGTGCAATGTGAATCGTGCATCGTGCAACGTGAATCGTGCAATGTGTAACATGCATCTTGCAGAACGAATCGTGCAATGTGCAACAGGAATTGTGCAACTTGCAACATGCATCGTGCAACGTGAATTGTGCATCGTGCAACGTGAATTGTGCCTGTAACATGAACTGCGCAATATGCGTCTTGCAACATGAATTGTGCAGTGTGCGACATGCGTCGCACGACATGAATCGTGCGTCGTGCACCATGAATCGTGCAACACGCAGCATGCATCACGCAACGTGAATTGTGCAACGTGAACTGTTCAATGTGAATCGCGCGACGTGCAACATGCATCTTGCGGCATGAATCGTGCACCGCGCACCGACTTGCGCAGCGTGCGTTGCGCAAGGCGCACCCCGCACCGCCCATCCCGCAACACGGCTCGTGCGATGTGCAACCCGCAGCGCGCGGCCTGCGCCGTGCCGCCTGCGTCATGCGCAAGCCCCGCCCCCGCGCCCCCCGCCCCCCTCCCCGGGCCCGCG